GATATAGGCGCTGTTGCCAATATGTGAATTAGAAACAAATCCCTTTAAAAATTAAAACCCAACATTTGAAACATCAATTTGAATACTTTTCGAAGTGAATTTGAAAAACTCATGAATTAAACCCAACTTTATTTTGTTCAAACTTGCATTTGCTGTAATGACCCAAATTGAGAGTATTCCTCTTTTCATAATCCGATAAAAGCTTCCAAAATTTTCCCCGAAATTAGATCCACTCAAAATAAATGACAGTATCAAAATCTTTGGGGCTGACTACTTAGAAATAATGATCAAGAACCACTGGATCATAAAATCAATTAGTTGCTGAAAAAATTGAGGACTCTCCTGCCAAAATTTGAATATTTGAAGTAACTCTTAAAATATTTTATTTTGCTCTGGTTCAATCTTTTTGGTTTCCAACCATTCTATTTTCTCGTTAAATTACATAAAACCAATTTTCCAATTAGACCTGTTGTATCATTTTTAACGGGAGTTTGGGTGGATTATAAAAGCAAGAGGTCCAAGACTAGATCAATGAAGAACACCAGAAACGACACTCTCGGGTGAATTTTTAATTTTCCACATTATTCTGCATCTGAAATCAATACACAAGTTACTTACACACCTACGGGTAGCAAGGGGCTGTCCTCAGGGGGGGTTTTTTTCCCCCCTGTTATGGAACTTTGTAATGGACAAGCTACTATGTCTCTTGGACCATAATGGGTATAAAGGGGCTATGCAGACGACTTAGTCATCCTAGTTCAGGGTAAATATAATAATGTAGTGAAGGGATGCATGCATTGGCTATACACGATGGTGGTTAAACCCATGATAACATACGCATCTCTGGTCTGGTGGCCAAAGATGAAGCAGGCGACCGCCATCAACAAACTAGGCAACGTGCAAAGACTTGTATGTTTGGGAATGACGGGAGCAATGAGAACTACCCCAACAGCTGCATTGGAGACTCTCCTGAATCTACCTCCTTTTCACTTTGTGATAATGGGGGAGGCCAGGATGGGCCAATTCAGACTGGAAAACTCACCGAACTACAACACAGGGTTACTAACCGGTCATTGTCCGCTTAGAGGACACCTGAATAAAATGGGCCTGTACAACGGAGACCTCAGCTGCAGATTATGCAACGAAGGGATAGAAACAGCTCTACACATATCATGCGAAAATTACGCCCAGAAGAATATGACGAACATCCAACAGGGAATCTGTATAAGCTAGTACAGGGAACGAGACTGATGGAATGGGTGTCATGAGAAGATGGGAGAATAAACGCAATAAGCCCAAGAGACTTGGACTGAATGGACAAGTCAGACAGCTCCCAAGGTACAAAAAAAAACTCACCTACAAACTTTCTTCTCTTTGAACAAATGGAAAATGAAATCGGTTATCCTCTTGGACTTGAATTGATTGCAAATGGAGCACATCAACTGCCTATTCAAGGGCTGGCCGAAAGGCCCGAACTGTGCCTTCAAATTTTTTTCGCTGTACTCATCATCTTCCTCTTCCGCAGACATGCAGGCCAGGTCAATGACATCGTCGATTCTCGGGATTTTCGAAATACCGTGTACTTCAGGCAAAGCTTTTCTCTTCAAAGGCCCCTTCACTTTGGACGTTTGTGGTTCTGCATTGTCTGTTGGGGAATCGTCTTCGTCGTCAATCACGATGACATCTTCTGATTCAGAATCGGAGTCTCTCGTCATTTTCATGATTTGATTTACCTTGAAAAAAATGATAAATTACTACGAGCTAATAGAGTATCGTCTGCAAACAGGTTGATAAATTCACAGTCGACATGTATATTAATATCATTCAAATATATAACGAATAGTAAGGGGCCCAAAACACTTCCCTGAGGTACTCCATTATCGCTTAATATTTCATTTGAAATTAATTTTTGAAATGTTCTGACAAGGACGTCTCAAAAAGTATCAACTCACCTAAAACACATGAACGTCTGTCCTTCGTGCATCTCGAGATGATGCTTCCTGATGGCGATCTCGGAGCCCACCTCGAAGCACAGCAAACACCCGACATAGTTCTGCTCGTCGTTCTCGCACGTCACCTTGTTCACCACCCGGAACTTGACGTGCATGTTCTCGTGGCAGGACGAGATGTGGCTCAGGATGAGCATCTCGGAATTCGACATGACTGGGCAGTATTCGCAGCAGAAGACGTCTCCGTCGAGAGGGACGTTTTGGACCATATTTATCACAATTTATTTTTTATCTCGAAAACAGATAGAGATAGGTATAGGACATTAT